ATATACAACAAAGTATTGAGATGAACTTTTGTTATTGACCAAATACTTATTTTCCACCATTATTTGCAAAAAAATTCTTAAAAAAGTCAGACAAAATGATTTTCTCAATTTTTTTTTTCACATTTTATCTCTTAGTTGAGGTCTACCTATGATGTCAATTACAGGCCTCTCTCATCTTTTTAAGTGGGAGAACTTGCACAATTGGTGACTGACTAAATATTTTCCCCACTGTATGTACATATTGGTTTGTTCTATCATTAGAAAATATTTGTTGAAATATGCAAACAGCTGTGTGCTGCAAATTTGACTAAATGTGCAAAACATCACACTGTCAACAAAACATCCCTGTGATTTTCTTTTCATCAAATGAGGATTTGTTTAACTATTAAAAGCAAGCTCAAATACTTTTTGATGTCTTTAAAAACACGTTGTAAAGTTTGGCCTGTTTCTCAATATATTTCCCACATGAATTACTTCCTGAAACTATAGATTTAGATTTCAAAAAATGAATAAATGCATTAGGAAATTCTATTTTGGGGAAATGAAAACAGTTTTGCCTGTGAAAGTTGAGTTTCTTCTGTTCAGCTAATGACAGTCACAACATTTCATGGTTGTAAAAAAAAACAATCAGGTGTCATGGTTTTTATAAACCTCTGCTTGTATTATTTTATCTTATTTTATTATTTTTTTGCAGCTGATAAGAATTGTACTGATTTTATCTGTTGATGGAAGTGGAGGTCGTGGATCGTACCTGCAGCAGCATGCCCTTCATGTGCAGTCGTTTTCACTCTGGCTCTCTCTCTCTTTTTATTAGATTTATCCACAATAAGGTTTAAACGTGCAGCAGTCCATCAGCCTGCAGCTCCTGCAGCAGTCTGCTGTGAGATATTTGTGGAGGGGCGGGCGGCTTTCTGCAGGGGAGTTTGTGGAGTTCTCTTACAAGTTGTGTTCCAGCTGACCCTGTTCTCAACTTTGACCTCTGACTCCAGCAGGGATCTGTCATGACTGGGAGATGCTGAACACAAAATGGAGCCTGGTTCAGGAGTCAGAAAGAAAGAGAGAGAGAGAGACTGAGGCTGAGAGGGGTTTACTGCTCACAGAGGACTCATTTATCCTCTCCATCTCCCGGCTGGGATTTTTTTTCCTTTTTTCCACCTCTCCTTTTGTTTTCACTGCAGGGACACTGTTGCTCTTTCTTCCCATACATCCCCGTGCTCTCTCCTCCTGTTTGTCCTTCCCTTCCCCTCATCCTCTCACCCGCGCTCTGCTTGACTTTTTTTTTTTTTTTTTTTTGCCCAGCAGCATGCGGTCACCAGCGGCCACCACCTTCAGGCGGCGGATTCGCGGACCCCAGCAGGGGCTTCTGGGGAGGGATTCTGCAGAGAGACGAAGGGTCTTTAACCAGAGCGGAGGCCTCGTCAGCCAGAAAGAGAGAGAGAGAGAGAAATGTATGCTAATGAGATGCAACACACACCAAAAGGAGCCTGGGTAGGCTGGCCGAGCTCCCGCTGAGCTCTGAGGAAGATGAGCGGCTCAGGTCAGAAGAATGGATACAGGAAAAAAAAAAAAACTCCTCTTCTTTTCCTTTCTTTGCTCTCACCCGGTGTCCATGAGGGCACGGACAAAGGCAAACTGGTTAACAAACAATCAGAGAGTGACTGCATTAACGTTTTAACTGAAGATGAAGGACGTGTTTAATTCAGTCAGACTAAATAGATTTTAAGAAATTGAAAACATGAAAATGTAGCTTTAAGTCCTGTTTAAACGTAACTGTAAATATTCACCTTGAACTAAAGTTAGTTATTAGGCTACTGCATCAATGTGCATGTATAAAAATGAATCTG